TCAGGGAGAGGGGTGGCCGACCGAGACTCCACACTCCAGTGAGCATAGCGGAGCCCCCCCTTTTTTTTTGGCATCAGATGGGCTATGCCCAGGACAGCCCATGCACCAGACCTGGCCAAACGGGCCGGCCCGGCCTGTGCTAATCGTGCCTGGCCCGGCATGGCCCGCCATGGCACGTTTAATAGCCGGGCCGGGCCGTGCCGGCCCACGGGCGCTGCTCCTTGGCCCAGGCATGGCCTGATTAGTAAATGGGCCGGCCCGATAACCCGTTTAGCACGCTGGGTTGCACATTTTTAGCCTATTGGGCTATATTTTAGGTATATATATAAAAAAATCTGAAAAATATATATAAAAAAAATGGGTCGTGCCGTGCCGGCCCGCGTACCCCGGCTCCAGGCCCAGGCACGGCCCAAGGCGTGCCGCGTGCCTGGCACGGCCCATTTAGCCCGTGTCGTGCCGGCGTGCTCGCGGGCTGGCCTGTTTGGCCAGTTATACCATGCACCCAGCCGAACAGCTAAAACTTGGTTGGGTAGGAAACTTTTAGCCGAAAAGTCCATTCTGCACCCGAGCTCATATGCTCCTGCATGAACAGTAAAATCGAAAAAAATTGAATTTTTTAAAAAAAATTCCAATTTTTTTTTGAGAGAAACATTGACAAAAGTTCTAAGTGCCTGCAAAAATTCATCATGAAATCACATTCCTGTAAGACGTGGCAAAAAAAAACAAATTCAGTGCTTCAAAATGCATTTGAAGTAGCTTTTTCAGAGTACTATTTTTGTTTTTTGCCACGCCTTCTAGGAATGTGATTTCATGACGAATTTTTGCAGGCACTTAGAACTTTTGTCAATGTTTCACTCAAAAAAAATTTGAATTTTTTAAAAAAAAAATTGATTTTTTTTCGATTTTACTGTTCATGCGGGAGCATATGAGCTCGGGTGCAGATTAGCTGCGTCCACTTTTAGCCTCGTTTCTGTATGCATGCTATCAAACACACGTATCCTCCTATATATGCGCGTATGTATGTATGAACGTTTTTATTTGTACTGTGTTTAAAAAAACATCCACCCAAAAAAACCAAACACACCCTTATGTGACAAACGAAGAATGCTCGAGACATGAACGACGAGAAAACGGAACCATTCCTTCCTCACACGGTTTCCTCACCTACTCTGTTATCTATTCCTCCCCCAATTTTAACCTACTCCGTTATCTCTTCCTCCCTAATTCTAGATCAAGATCCCAGGGCATTACAAAAATAGTACTTCCTCCGTTCCAAAATAGATGACTCAATTTCGTACTAACTTTAGTAGACACTAGTAGAAAACAAAGCATACGTCCGGGTCTGGTTAGCCCATTAGTCCTGGTTCGGTCACGAACCGGCACCCATGGGCCCATTGGTCCCGGTTCGTGAGGCCAGGGGCCTGCCGGGCCTCGTGGGGGCATTGGTCCCGGTTCGTCTGGGACCTTTGGTCCCGGTTGGCGGCACGAACCGGGACCAATGGGCCTCGCTCCTGGCCCACCGCCATTGTACCGGTTGGTGGCCTAAACCGGTACCAAAGGGTGGTCTTTAGGACCTGGTCGAGCCACAAACCCGGACCAATAAACCAGCCAGGGGAGAGGGCTTTTGTGCGTAAAATATTAAAAGCAAAAAGAATTTTCACAAAATAAATAAAAAAAGAAAATAAAGAAAACAAAATAAATAAGTAGAAACAAAATAAAATAAATAAGTAGAAACAGAAAAAACTTTAATAAATAAGAAGTAACAAAATAAACTTTAATAATGTAGAATAAATAAAATATAATAAAATAAATAAACAAAAAAAGAAAGAATTTTCATAAAATAAATAAAAGAAGCAAAAAAGAAAAGAAAATAAATAAGTAGAAACAAAAAAAACTTTAATAAATAAGTAAAAACAAAATAAACTTTTATAAAACCTGTAGTATTATTGAAACTAAAATTATATAAAATGTATGCAACTAAAATTATCAAAGTATTTTCTGTTCAAAACAGTAAAAGACAAAAGAATTTTCATAAAAAAAATTGTTAGAAACTTTAATAACACTAACAGAAACTAGTGATTCACACAAATTTCAAAAACTAGTGATTCACACAAATTTTAAAAAATTCAAATTTAAACTATTCAAATTGGAAAACAAATGGCACTAACAGAAAGTTTATATTTTTTATTACGTAAAAGCAAAAGGAACTAAAAAATAAAGCAAAAAACAAAAGAAAATAAATAATGCAAAAAACAGAAGAAAAAAAACTGGGCCACTACGACCGGAATACGACTAGAAACCCTACCATGGGCCAGGATTCAGGCCCACAGATGGACCAGTAGGCCCAACAGGCATAGTAGTGATAATTAGGCTCGTAAGCCTGCAATCGAAAGGAGCTCGAGAGGGGTGCGGCAGTGGGGCTTATAAACCACTGTGCGCCCCTCTCAACTAGCGAGGTGGGACTAAAGTTTTGGCCACGGGCAGCACAAGGCCTTTGGTCCCGGTTGGTGGCACCAACCGAGACTAAAGGGGTGAATTGGTCCCGGTTGTTGTGACCAACCGGTACCAGTGCCCCCCTTTGGTATCGGTTGGTGCCACCAACCGGGACCAAAGGCCTCTGCTTCCCGCCCTTTTGGGCTACTGAAAAGAGACCTTTGGTCCCGGTTTGTAACGCCAACTGGGACTAAAGGGGGACATTGGTACCGGTTGGTGCCACCAACCGGGACCAATGCTTTGTCTATATAAACAGCGCTTGCGAAATTTTCGTTTCAGTTCCTAATTCTCCCGCCGCCGACGCCACCCTCTGCCCCGTCGCCCGTGCCCGTCGCCGTCGTCGCCCTTGCCTCTGACGCCGTCCCGCGCCGCCCCGACGCCGTCGCTGTGCCGCGCCACCCATGTCCCGACCTCGCCGTCGCCGCCCTCTGCCCCGACCTCGCCGTCGCCGCCCTTTGCCGCGTCTCGTTGTCGTCGTCTAGTGAGCCCTCCCTTCCCCCGCACTGCCGCCCTTGCCTGCTCTGCTTGCCGCCCTCTGCCGCGCGCCGCCGCCATCGCCCCGTTCGGCCTGCTCTCTGTGGTGTGATGTATGATTGTTTTGTTCATTGATATATGTATATATGGATGTTGTATGTATATGTATATATATGCAGATGTATGTATGATCCATGGATATGTATGCATTGATGTATGATTTTTTTTGTTCATAGATTTTTTTGTCAATTTATATTCATGTATATATATGCAGATGTATGTATGATCCATGGATATGTATGCATTGATGTATGTGTGTGTGTGTGTGTGTGCGTGCGCGCGCGTGTGCGTGTGCATATTTAGAAAAAACAATTGTATTGCAAAAGTTACATTTAAGGCTAGTTGATTTAGTGCATTTTAGGTTATTAGTAGTGCTTAGTAATTGAACTAATTGATTTAATAAACTACTTTATTTTACTATAGAAGTAGTTTAGTTTTAGTAAGTACTATTATTTTATTTATAGTAAGTGCTTAGTAGTTGAACTAGTTGATTTAACAAACTACTTTATTTTATTATAGAAGTAGTTTATTTTTAGTAAGTACTACTTTATTTTAGGACCATTTGCATTTCTGTCCCTAACTCGAACCACCTAATCAGATATACCCCTAATTCAAAAGCCTGCTCAAATTTGCCCCTCCGTCGTTAGTTGCACTTATAAAAATGCCCCTCCGTGCCGTTTCCGTCCAGTCAAAGCTGTTTGACCGTTATCTGGCCGTTTCTTTGACAATTTTACCCCTGTGTCCATGTGCCACTTAGTAGTGGGTCCCACTCTTAAAAAATTAAAACAAAAAAACACTTTCTCTCACCCTCTTTGTCACCCACACTTACATGTGGGGCCGATCTTGAAAAAAAAAGAAAAAAGAACATGACTATTCAAACTAGTCTGACGGTTGCCGGCGGCGACCAAATCCCACGGCGGAGGCACGCTGGGAGGCTGCGAGGAGGCCAGCTGAGGGAACAAGGCGATAGCCCTTGCTCAACCGCGTCCAGCGATGTGCTCTTCGGACCATATGGTTGCTGGAGCAAACGGCGGCGACCATTCTCGCGGCGGCTCCGGGCGGTGCAAGTGCGGCAGCTACCATGCGAGGGGGAGGGAGAGGAAACCATCGGTGTGCCATTAAGGATCTCGCTAGGAGCATGATGGCGACGCAGCTGGGGCTCGGGGAAGACTGGAGCGACGACTTCGACGATGGCGGCCAT